CCCCCCCCCCCCGCCATAAATAATGACCGGTCCCTTATCAGTCCCCATTTAATTTCAGTTTCAAACCGGCTTTTGGTCATGACGTTACTGCAATTTATAATCATACATCTTGTCATAGGCATTAGGTTTCTTGAAATGTTTTGACAGAAAGCAATGAGTTGTCCCAAATCTTTGATTAATTTTTAACCTCGTCAACTTTAATGACGTCAAGATTGGGGTTAGCCTTATACCAAAAGTTGCCAGTTCTATTCGATTCGAAATTCGAAATAACAACCAAAATATCAAAAATATTACATTGCTCAAGGACAAATTGATTAGATTTGGGATGAGAAACTCGGAAAAAGTTTGTCGTCAAGAAAACTGAATGCGCATAATCAGTCCGCTGTATAATTTATGCACGAATATACATAACTTAATTAATTCGCTAGCGGAGGTATGACATTATGACTATCGCCCGTATTCTAAAAGCTCACTCACACTGAATGAGTGGAAGTTCAATATGAGTTCCTCTCGAGTGTCATTGCTGTTTTTGAATAGCTGGAGGGTTATTGTCGTACCTTACTATGTGACTACTCACCCTCCAGCTATTCAAAAACAGCAATGACACTCGAGAGAAGCTCAGTTTGAACCTCCACTCATTGAGTGTGAGAGAGCTTTTACAATGCAGGCAAATGTCCTTTAACTTTATCAATAATTCAATTTCTCCTTTCCCTATCTACCAGAACATGACAGCACATACTGCAAGTAAACAAGCCGCGGATCGTCGAATGAACAAGACCGTGATCACGATAATCCTCGTTTCGCTCGCGTGCTACCTGCCTCAGTTTTGCGTGCTCGTTTTCCTAAGCGTGCACGAACGTACCGTATGGCATACGCGTTTCGTCATTCCTTGGGTGTACCTCGTGCTGTTTGCGACAGCAGCTTTGAACCCGTTCGTGTACTGTTGGAAGAATCGGCGTCTGAGGAACGAGATGGCCAAGTTTACCTCGCGTGTATTCAGGAGAAAACCGCGCACCTATGAGAACAACAGTACGGTATCGAGTACACCCATGTCGACAAACACATCAAAAGTTTGAGGCTTTCAGTCGGCGAACAAGAAGAACAGATCTGGAAACTTGGATCCTGTCCTTGTTTTTTTTTTCAAAAGTTCCTCAAATAAGCGCATGCAAAAACAATGTAAATTTGACAGTACGTTACACAATTATGTGCGCAACGCTAAAGTATATTTTAGTGTATTTATGTTACACATGTATATATTTATTGTGTATTAAGTACGGTTCCCAAGACCTCCTATAAAGTATGTGTCAAGAATTGAAAATTTTCCTCAAATGTGCGTAAAAAATAATGAAAAATTAAAAAAAAATGGGAAATTTGACGTTATTTTACAACAATGAAGTATCTCTACAAAAAATCGACTGTGAATTTCTATTGCATGGAAATCGGCCCAAACTCCAAATGGAACGAATTAGCCTTTTTCACGCGGGTCAATATCCGCCATTTTTGGGGAACGGTCTTCCTACGTCAGAGAATATAGACAATCTAAGCAATGTGAAAAGCGACTTTTCAAAGTTGTATATTATAAATATACCATCATACACACAAGAGCATGCAGTGACAAAAAGTCGCATTTTGCAGTTGGAACACTCTCAGACTTGGGACTGGCAGTACCCCCCAAAATGGCGGATAATGATCGTGAGAAATGCTAATTAGATCGAATAGGAATTTTAAACTTTCCAATTGGACATTATTGAACTTCAGACAGGAAATGTCATTTCGATTGGAAATTGGGCCAATAATGGTATATATATACTATACAGTATATAGATACTTGACTGTTCCTATTCGATTTATGTTACGCATGTATATTTACTGTAAAACGCTCCCAGTATGTAATTAAATTAGACCACAGGCTTATAATTGATTATTGTAATACAAAACGATGTTTCGGAATATAACTGAAGCTTCAGATTATTTTACAAAACTGTATATTAAGTATATAATAGCAATTTCTATGTTAAATATGATTCCTTAAGATTAAAAAACATTGAAAATGTCTCACAATCTTGTTGTTAAAGCAGGAACCTGACAAGTATATATCATTACAAGAAGCTGTATATATAGTTTGTGTTTGAACTACATGAAAAAATAAACACTCACATGCTTGGAGTGAAGGCCCTTTGTCCAGACTCAATTGACCTCCTAACGACGAAGGACCTTCATCCTGTTGACAAGTTGTTGGAATAGCATTGCTACAAGTCTGCTGCGGGTTTGTTACAACTTGTGCGTGTGTGGTTCAGACACAAACCATGGCAGCCTACAATACTTCTTATCCTAGTCCACCACGTTTGAGATATACTATATATTTGAGTCTTTGAGATACTATAATTATAAACTATATATTTAAACTATCATTTCTATGCTACAAACGTTGGAAATATAAATCATGCAGCCATGTATACTCTTCTGTCTTTCCTAACATTGCATTTGCAATGGTATTAACACAACATAAGCTATTAGATATTGTCTATTGATACAAGATTGAACACAACTGCCACTTGTCCCAAGAGCCACTCAGGCTAGGTGTCGGAAGGTGTTAGGAAACACAAGCACATTCTGTCTTTAGATAGCAGTAGTATATTGTCACCATCTGGATGCCAGTGAAGAGAGTTCACTTGAAATGTTCCTGCAAGAAAAGAAAACGCCCGACTTACTGCATGGCTTAAGTCCCATACAGACGTACAACACAGGGCAAAAAATTGACAGTTTTTCCTTGTCAAGGAGCCTTGTTCCAAATCTAGTCACACCAGGTTTTGGACAAGGAAAATGGAATTACTCTTACCGGAAAATTAGAGAGAACAGTTTAGAAATGATAGAGCTATCCAGTATAAATAGCTTTAGTTTCATTTAATTTCAACAAGAAATGAGATATCTAAATTAGGGCTAGAAAGCTCGTTACGACTTTAGTGATACTGTACCATAGATATCTTATATATACACTAGATAGTGCATCTAATTATTCTGCAATTCGAAAATTGAAGCCGTGATTGCAGACTCAGGATATTCCCATGAAATGAGGAGACTCGTATGTTTTCTATTTTTTAAACAGGGAACTTAAACATTAAGTTAAACCTATTCCAAATACATTTTAAAACTATTCAAATGATGAAAGTTATTGTTGTTTTTGAAGCGTTTATTAGCAAGTGGGAAACTCCAACATGGCCGCCATCTATTGAAATGGGGGTAACCGCTGGAATATTCTTGGCTTCAATTTTACTAAAAGAGATGCGCTATCTAGTTTATATATGATATCTATGTACTGTACGTGCAATAAAGGTAAATAAATAATTAAAAAATTAATCATAAATTGCCCCAAAATACCAACCCTCGCTTTCGGTAGGAACTTCAACAGTGACACAACCAGCGACCGACCAAAAATAAAGTTTATTGTTTCCAATGCACAATGCTATTCTCTCCTGGTTCGGGTCCCACGCAATGGCTAAGGGGAAATTAGATTAATGTAAGGTCAGGGGTAATGCAACGCGGTCAAACTTATTTTCACAATCCTAATTCGGAGAATTTAAGAAAATGTGTAGTGGTAGACATTGCAGAGAAGGTGAGAGAAGCAAGGTTGAGATGATATGTGAACGAAAAATTAATAATGGAATGGAGAGATAAGAAGAAGATCTGGAGGGATAAATATTATAGATAGGGTGAGGCAAGCAAGGCTGAATTGAGATGGAAACGTAATAAGATATGAAGGAGAACCGGCCAGAAACATTATGGAATGAAGAGATCACAAGAAGATGTGGGGTGGTAAACATTGGAAAGGTGACGAGAAAAGCAAGGCTAAGATGGTATGGACACGTAATAAGAAGGGTAGTAAACATTGTAGAGAAAGTGAGGGAGGCAGGGCTGAAATTATATGGAAACGTAATAAGAAGAGATGAAGGAGAACTGTTCAGAGTTATTATGGGATGGAAAGATAGGAAGACGTAGGGTGGTAAATATTGGAAAGATGACGAGAAAAGCTAGACTAAGATGGTATGGAAACGTAATAAGAAGGGTAGTAAACATTGTAGAGAAAGTGAGGGAAGCAGGGCTGAAATGATATGGAAACGTAATAGGAAGAGATGAAGAAGACCTGTTCAGAGTTATTATGGAATGGAAAGAAAGGAAGATGTAGGGTGGTAAACATTGGAAAGATGACGAGAAAAGCTAGACTAAGATGGTATGGAAACGTAATAAGAAGAGATGAAGGAGACCTGCTCAGAGCTATTATGAAATAGAAAGATAGGAAGGAGATGTGGGATGGTAAATATTGTAGAGAGGGTGAGAGATCAAAGCTAAGATCACATGGACATGCAATGAAACTGAAATGAAGAAGAGTCGGTCAGAGATGTTATGGAACTGGGTGTATAGGGGAAAAGAGTACAAGGGTAACCAAAGAAATGATCGATGGACGATTGGTAAAAGAAGATCTAATAATCAAAGAACTGACGGTGGATATGAAAGGGGACAGAAAATGGTGTTTAAATAGTGGTAAAATCATTCACCTTTTATTGGAGAAGTTTGTATGAGGACAGCATAAAGTTTTAGTGTGACTACGTTCCAGATCCACAAAGTGTGGGGCATGTTATCTGAAAAGAGATATTCTAGTTTATATTTTAGGTACGGATTAGCATAACTAGCTCAAATAGTGGAAAAAATTTAAAAAGTCTTCGTAGTTATTCAAAAATAGGATGTCTTCATTCAAAGCATTTAATTACATAAATTATATTACTTACAACACGAGAATCTGGTCAGTAACTACAACGGTTAATTAAACAGTGCATATATACAACCGCGCAACTGATGTTAATTAAAACAGATCTGGGAAAGGAAATGGCGGTGCCGCGGTTTGCCCATTGCAGCGCAAAACAAATGATAAGACACGAGCCACTTGGGAACAGAATGAAATTTGGTGTTAGTGACCTATATATATATGCTTGAAAAATTGCTCAATCCTGATTGGCAAAGAATTTTATCGCAATACAGAGTCAAAAAATGTAATTCAGCGCCAAAAATGTAATACGTTGCAAGCGCCCAAACAAATGACATTTTGATTTGGGAACTCAAAATTAGAGGAACGTAAAAACAATGTAGATACAAAAGTTGGTTTAGATTGCTTTTTTATTGATCATAAATTACATTAATACATATAGCACAAGTCAGTCACTTAATCACAGCTTCACTTAATCTTATTCAATTAATTTTACTGTATTAGCGAGCTGTGTAATAACATTAAATAGGATTAGTGTCACACCATGGCATTAGCGGGCTTTTGTTATAATGTTTTGATATTACCCAAAATCAACAAATAACGATAAAAAATACCTTGTTTAGTACATTTCCAGCAAGAATTGTGAAAGGATGGTTTTAAGGCCCATTTCAACTCAGGAAAATTTTCCGCAGAAAGAAAATTTTGTAAAATGTGATTTTGTAAAAATTTTCTGGCGGAAAAAATTGAAGTTGAAAATTTTCAACTTTTAACAATGATATTTTCGGAAAATTTTCCGACCGTAGAAATTTTTCTTGAGTGGAAATGGGCCGGATTGCAAAGAACTTTTCCAGATCTATTAATGTCCTCGACCCATAAAATGGCCGCCAGCAGGACTTTGAGCCCGCAATTCCATGGTATGAGGCTAACCTTCAAATAATCATGTATGTATAACACAATAAGATTGAATAAATTCAATTCATCTATAATATTCAGCTATAAATTCAATACAAGACAACTTTATAATATAACAAGAAGAAAATCGATAATAAAGATAAAGTCAATGTTAACGGCCGCATACCACTCCCTGCCGCAATCCACCTGGGCATACTGGAATTGTGGTACATTTCGTTTTCTTGATTATGGAGGACACCCACCATATTTCTTATTTATATATTTTGGACAGCTATGGCATTTCATCCAGTAGGAATACTCATCTGACCTACATGTATTGCCACGATTTTCTATTTCATGTGAACGTTTCAGGTAACTTCCCAAATCCTCGTCATAACCAGCTCTCTTCAGGAAGGAATTTTCGTTGTTGTATTCGTCTTCTCCGCGAAGGATTTCGTTTCTTTCCGCAGCCTTGTAGCGTTTCGCCATATTCATTTCTTCATCACCAAGGTGGGGGCCAAATCTTCCTTGAATTTCATCTCTTTTTGCCATATTCATTTCTTCGTCGCCAAGAATCTTGGTTCGTTTCGCTCTCAACAGCCGACTTGCCCAATTCGTATTTTCGCTGTCACCATAAGGCGGGCCAAATCTTCCTTGTGGGATGGATTGAATTTGTTGACAATATAGCGAGAAAAACAGCACGACAGTCAACATTCCGACCATTTTTAATTATACGACTTACTATACTTGAACGTGGTACTATAACTTATTCTCAGCTAAATGATGATTTGATGGAAAGCAATCCTAGTTTATATAGGGAGCGCTGTTGCTAAAAATAGCTATGCATCAGAGAATTAACAAAGGTTTGTGGCGCATGTGAAGAGCAATTAATTAAATTTAATTGTATACTAATTGCTTTTAGAATGATGTTTTATAACTAATTAGTGGGAGAAGAGAATGTGTTTACTTTTACGTAGAGAAAAATTAAATGAACAAAAGAAAACAAGTTGGTTTGAATTAACAAATATTTGAAAATTATTTAGCGAGTCCCACTCAGTATAATTAGAAATCAGATGTTAATTAGTTAATCAGCACTTAAGTTCATTAATGTTTGTGTTACGTAATTGAGTCACTCTTTCATAGGGACAAAGCGACTCGTAATAATTTATTCATTAAGCATAATGAAAAGAGCAACTGTTTCGATAAACAAAGAGACTCAATATAGTGTATTGTATAATAGCCTAACAATTTGAACATTAGCAACGCGATAACGTTTTAGTTTACTAATTAGCCAAGCTACTTGGGAAAGTTTTTAATAAATGAACTTTTCTAACAGATGAAATGTTAAAAAAAAGTATGAACGAAAAATTGAAATATCCTTAATAAGGCATTGTGTATACCTTCAACCTTATTCCTTTTCTTCATATATATATATATATATATATATATATATATATATATATATATATGTGTGTGTGTGTGTGTGTGTGTGTGTGTGTGTGTGTGTGTGTGTGTG